TCAGGTACCAAGGAAGAAAAATGGTATTTGCCTCACCTTCCTGGTGCCAGGAGCTGGGTTGGGAAAAGGCATTTTCATGGAAGATCTGGTTGTAACTCCTGATAAATTGTGAATTGATGTGACATGTGTCCTTCTGCTATTCTCTTAGGGCCACTGCTCATTAGTAGCTAACTGCCTACCACAGACTCACACCACAGTTTTCTCCAGGTTTGGTCCTTCCTGAAGGCATTTCTGCTTTTTCCTCTTCCTGACCTTCTCCAACCCATTCTTCCTCTAAAAACAAGCTGGAGAGTTGCCTTATCAGGGTTGACTGCTAAACTTTAAAATTTCTTCTTTTAAATCTTCAGGATTACTGCCATCACTATCCCCATGTCTGTCACCCTCTTCCTTGAAGAAGAAGCCGGATTACCCAGTACGAAGGTAACTTAACTAATATTTTTCACAAACCAGTATTTTTCACAAACTCGGGTTTGTGCCAATATTTGTTACAAACCTGGGTTCTGAAAAACATTTTCACAACCCAGATTCTCCTCTTCCAAGCAGCCATAGTCACTAAAATACAAAATGTAAGGAATCTGACATTGCAAAAATATGGAGAACTTTTACAGATCATTATAGAGGAAGAAAAATGGTGCAACCACTTTGGAAAATACTATGGCAGGCTCTTATAAAGTTAAATTTACTATATGATCTAGTAATCATACTCTAAGATACCTATTCAAGAGAAATAAAAATGTATATGATCACACTAAGGCATACTTTCAATACTGATAGCAGCAGTTTTATCCATTATAATCCAAAGCCAGAAATAATACAAATGTCCATCAACCAGTGAATGGATAAGTAAATTGTGGTGTATTCATACAACGGAATGCTACTAGACAATGAAAAGGAACAAGCTATTGACCATATGTAACATGATGACCTTCACCAGCATCATGCTAGATGAGCAACGACAGACAAAAAGTCTATATTCTATCATTCTAATTATGCAAAATTCTAGAAAAGGCAAAACCATAGCAGTGGAAAGCAGATCAGTGATTGCCATAGACCTCAGCTTGGAGGAGTATATTGACTACAAAAGGACACAAGGGAACTTTGAGGGTAATAGTAATGCTCTCTGTAAAGATTATAATGATAGGTACGTGACTACATGCATTTGTCAAGAGTCACTAAACTTTAATTGAGTGCATTTACTGCACATAAATTATACTTCAAAAAATTGTTAAATAAAGTTAAACTATGAGGCCACATAGAATAAAGAGTTGAAATAATTGAAGTTCTGTTTCTTATCTTTAGAATTATGATGCAATCATTGTTTATGTAAAATACATTTTTAAAAATTATTTTATTTAAGTTTATTTATTATTATTATTATTATTTAATTTGACCAGAGAGAGGCAGACAGAGAGTGAAAGGGAAAGTGAGAAATCAAACTGCCAGGTCCAGGACTCAAACTGTGGTTGGTCATGTGGGAGTCCAGTGCCTTTAATCTCCACACCACCTACCAGCCCCTTAAAATCTATTTTTTAAAGGCAAGCAGGTAAAACACAGTGGTTGGAGAATGTGAGCTAATATTGAATATAGCAGGGAGTCTCTGAATTACTTTCCATGTAGAATAAAGTGATCATTAAAAAAAAATAATAAAAAGTTATACTTTGAAATGTGTGTATATATTGAAATGAGTGTATATATTGAATTGTGTGTATATATATATACATATATATACACACACATATATATACACAAACATACATACATACATACATATATGTGTGTCTCTGTGTGTCTAAGTTACAAATAATTGCTGAGGTTATTGTTAGAACTTAGACCAATGAAAACTTTTTAAGGGACAGGGAGTACTTTATCACTGACACTGTTCAGAATGGCTGATTCCTGGTGATAATTTAAAGTAGATCAATTTTAATCAGTACTTTTTCCACTATTGTATTACCAACAGATATACTTGAGATTGAGTGATGTATAAAGAATTTTTATATAAAAGCTTATTTGGCTTATGATTCTGGTGGCTGGAAAATCCAAAGGTGTGGGACTGGCATCTGGCTGAAGCAGAGAGGATGGCAGGTACATGCAAAAAAAGAGACCTTGGGGCAGCCATTTTCCTTTTGTATCATTTCACACTTATGAAGCTAATCCTCAAGAGAGCTACTTGCACTCAGTCTCACAAGAAAGCATTAATCCAATCACGAGGGTGAGGCCTCCATCATCCAAATACTCTCACTAGGCCTCACCTCTTAAAAGTCTCACCATCACGTAGCATCATTACACTGAGTACCAAATTTCACTACAGAAATCTTCAGGGAAAAACAATGATCTCAACTGTAAAGGTCACTTTTATCATTGTTTCAGAATTCTTCATTTTTTATTATTGTTTTAAAATTCTTATTGCTTATACGTAGGGTAGATTCGTTCACCTGTCCTTTGTATATTACTGCTACTTCTCATGAGTAGCTTTGGCTTCCTGAAACTCTAGAATAATATCACAAAGTCAGAGTCCAGTCTGGCTTTCAAAATGTTTGAAAACTTCATTTTTATTCAGCAACTATTATTAATTGCCTACTACAGACCAAGGGTTGTCCTAATCACTTACAATTTCAGTTGATATGATCACTGATGTCCAGGATTTCAAATTATGATGCTATCTATTGACATTGTGGGGACAAGCAACACAGTCTCGAGCAGGGCAAGGTAGGAGACTATGCCAAAACCTACAGGTTGTCTTTTATTTCCCTTTGTTCATTTTTCTCAACGTCCTCCCAGGTGAGCACCTTTCTTCAAGCTGCATAACCTATCACATTCTTTATAAGCTTCAAGAAGAGGTTCAAAGGAGAGGGCTTTATCTTCTCAGAAGGGAGAGCCAACAAATGGGACCTTGTTCACCAACTTGAATCTATTTGTCTTTCTTATGAGCCTGTGACATTCAACTGTCAACCAGCTCTTAAAATCCTTTGTTGGAAACAAGATGCTTCTGAGATTTTTGATGCAGGGATGCAGCTCAGAATTCTAAGCAGTCTCCTTGATATTCTGCATCACTAGCTAAGGCTTACACAACAAATATCTATGCCCATCCAAAAAAGAATAAAGGGCTAAGATAAAAGTGCATGCAAGCATTTCAGAGAGATGAAAGGTTCATCCTAGAAACAATGAGAAGGTTAGTCTAGGCCAAATCAGGTCCACCCAATCTCTATCCCTTAAGGCAGCTATTTCCATAGCTCACTCCAGTTCTGGTTGAATTGTTTTCTTCTTTAAGTCTACCTAATAATTTCTAATTGTCCTAGTTGCTTTAGAACTGTAATACAATTTGGAATACATGAGTCAAGGCCAGTTTTGCAAAGGTCTAAAGGCTTTTTTTTTTTTTTTTTTTTTTTTTTTTTTTATTG